ATGATGGAAACGTCCACACTTGAGACCGGACATGTGGCTGCGTGCTTTCGCCGTTCCTTGACGGCAGGTGTCATTGAATGCCGTAACAAGAAGTGTTGCAGTGGCTGCGGAAAGAAGAATCCAGTCATCATCATAATCGTCGGCATCATATTCCCTCGACATGCAGCTTGTGGTCGCAACGCTGAACAGCATCATGAACATCGTTGTCATTACCATCATGACCATCGCATACATTTTGTGGATGTCGGGCGCCGCAGCATTTCGTTGGCCCAGCCTGCTGAGGGTGCAGGACACATTCACTCCCTTGCGCTCTGAGCCAACCCCGGTCAAGGCATTCCGCGCGCATAGGCTCCATGCAAGTTTTCAACACGAGTATCCATGCACAAACATCCGACTTCCCGACAGGGCGGGAACCAACCTTCTGAGGTAAAGTCCCGGGGGAGGAATCCCAAAACCCTGCAGAGACCAAATGCGCGCAAAGGGCGAGGGGCCTTGACATGGCAGGCAGAGAGAGCAAGCAAGCAAGAGAGAGCCTCTACTCTGCTGCCCATCAGCGGGACCCGTGCCAACAGTTCACAACAAGCTAGTCCATAAACCAGTAAAAAGTGAGGCGAGATCACAAAGCTCCCGGGGACAACCTCGGACCCTTGTGTTCAGTGTCGGCACCCTTAAACCGCGGTACTCGCTGTCCTCGAAAAGTCCCGGGACCAACCAACGAGCCCCCTGCAACGCCAGGAGGGGCTGTAACCTAGCAAAGTACATAGTACAGAGTGGGATTCAGCACAAGCGTGCTCGCCTAGCCGTGCATATGCACTATAGGGGACCTAGCGGGGACGTGTAGCTTTGGGCTTCGGGGGCAAAGTGCTGAAACCCACGACAGTGTCACCAAAGCAGACAGACAACGGACACCGGCGTAGCGCGAGAGCGCAGGGGTGAGGGTCTTAGGACCCCGCCCCAAACGTCGAGCAAGCAAGCAAGCAAGAGAGAGGGAGGGAGAGAGAGAGAAAGAAAAAGAGAGCGCTCTGGCGGGGGACCCGCCCTCTACAGTCGAACTCCTCGAGTTGCTGGAGCTGGTCCAAGCGGGGATGAAGGCGCAGCTACAATTGGCAAGTCACGCACTGGGCAACTGATGCAGCGGAGGAAGCCCTTGCGATGCTTACAGTGGCCACTGCCACAGACGGCCCAGAAGAACTTGCAGACACGCCCCCGGGGGGAATCACAAAGGACCTCCCGCACCCTCGAAACCTGCGTGACGAAGCCGCCACAGGAGCGGGGGTTCTCGTGGGGATATACCCACACAGGGGGCCAGCGGAGGAAGTTCACCCTGCAGACGTGCTCGGACTACAGCGTTGGTGAAGGAGAGCAAAATTCGCGGGAGAACGTCAACCACCCGATGCAGGACATGTTTACAACGCTCAGAAATGTCTCCGGCGGCTCCTGCCATTTATAGTGGGGGACATGAAGCAACTCGGGGACCGAGCCCTCCGGCACCTCAACACGTGGATGCGAGCTCACTGGGAAGAAGGAGTGCAACTCGTAAGCAGTGACGAAGATGACTGCACAGCGCAGCCGGGGGACGCCCAACTACCAGAACCACTGGGAGCGCACGCAGAGCAAGCTCCAGTGCTGGAGCAAACAGGGGCGGCCCATGAGGGGGCCCAGGATGCCTGATGACAGACGCCGGGGGTTTACAAGCCCCAGCTCCTTCGACAATGATGACTGAATGGCCTACCTGCTGTTTTTCGTTGCAGTCTTTTGGGGGGAGCAGGGGCACTGTCACTCCGAGCCTGGCGGAAGAGGAGGCTTGAAACGCAGCCTCTCGGCAACCGAACGCCTGTCTAAAAGCCTTGTTCGCCTTGACAGTGGGGGTTGCTTCTCGTTTTGCCTAAGCCCGGGAGCCAAGAGCAGGGTGCAACTTCGCCTCCATATCGGTGCTGCACATATCTACCACTGATTTGCCATATGATGCTTTAGTAGTCGTTGTGTTTGTGTAGAGGCCTGTAATCATGTGAAGTTGGGGACGGAGTGCAGCACATCACAGGTTCAGGGAGGGGGTGGGCAGGACAGGCAGTGTTGCGCAAGGTTCTGTTCGGGGTAAGGTGGGGAGGCAGGTTAGGTCGGGATGACAGCATAGTAGCGGCCACCAAGTGAGCGGAGCTCACCCGAGAAAGCGGTTCAGGGCAGTCTGGTAGCGACCGCTTTTTATGTTGTTTGTTGAGCTTAGTCTACTGGGTTTTTTCTTGCCCTGTCTGGCCTGTACCACGAGACATCCGCTTTTCGTGACTCCGCAGCACCAGGAAGACCTGTTTGCCTCCTGAAGTGGCACACCCCTAGCAAACAAGCAAGCAAGCAAGCAAGCAAGAGAGAGAGAGAGAGAGAAAGAGACGCAGGCGTTAAAGGGGGCCTCCCGCCCAGCCACAAACGCCGAGCAAGCAAGCAAGCACGCAAGAGAGAGCGAGAGAGAGAGAGAGACGGAGAGCTCGTTCAGCTGAGCCTTCCGGCCAAGCACGCGCGAAGGAAAAAACACATCCGAGGACTGCAGGTGCTCGCGAGGTTCAGGGTTGGACGCTCCCTGGGCCTCCCACCTGGTAGAGAGAGAGAGAGAGAGAGAGAAGATCTCGTTTGGTCTCTTGGAAACTTGGAAGCATGGTACCCAGGGAACTTTGAAGCACCACGAAGTCGAATTGCGCTAGTACATTAGATGTGACCTCTTCGTGTACATGCCCCCCTCCATGGAGTGCCAGGTGCGGTTTTCTTGTTTCTCGTTTTTGGCTTTTGAATGACAAAGGGGACATGCTTTCACAATCATATTTCGAACCGGGGGAGACACCCAAAACTTTGGTTTGATTTATGTTGGTGTCGAAACCTGGAAGATCGACAGATGGAAGAAGAGCTTAACATCTGGAACTTTGCCACAATTAGGAAAACCCGCATCACCCTCAATGCCCCATAACACATGGGGGCCTTGTGGCCATTGGGTTTGGCAGGCCGCCTATGCCCTATGGAAGAGAGCGATAGGGATCCCGGCCAAACGCTGCCACAGAAGCCGTGTACCCAGCCAACAATCGGGCCTCCCCCAAGGGGAGGCTCGCCCTTCAAGCCTGGTGAAAGAAAGAAAGAAAGAGCAAAAGGGCAACAGAGGCGTCTTTGTCTCACCTCCGTGTATGACACAGGAGCTTGAGGACATGCACTTCAAGTCTCTCGCCGGCTGGTACGGTCACTTCACTAACAAGTACCGCCAGGCAAAAACACGGTCATGGTGGCTTTGCCATTAGAGTTTCTTAGCGTTTGTTCTCTGCTAGCGGCTTGATCACCGCATTCTGGCAGGTCGGCATTCTGGAGGAGCTGAAAGACTGGGACTTTGCCGCTGTTAAAGCAGAGGCCAAGGCAGAGCCGCCGAAATTTTCCATGTTGCATTACTGTTTGGAGTAAGTACTCGTGGAAGGTCAACGTCAAATGAAAGGCGTGCTTGAGATGCTGCACACGTGGCGATGCGTGGTTTCACTTTCTTGCACAGCTCTCTTTTCCAGCCATAAGGCATCTTGCTGTGTTCTGGTCCCGTCCTACTTGAAGTCCTGACAGGTCGAGTGCAAGGTGTAACGAGTCTTTGAACAGTTCTGAGCCATGTCCTGACCCTGCTCATCCAGGACTAGGTGTCAACGGGATGTCGTGTTCGTCGATGATTCAACGAGTTGGCAGCCGACTCCAGTAGAGTCGATGCTGCCGTCCTGTCACACGACGGGATCTTTCGTGAGTCCTTTTGCCAAAAACCTCTCACTCTTCGCAAAAAGACGACTACAGCAAGGGCTGCAATGTTGGCAAGTGGCAGCGATCACGAAGCAAATCGCTGTGCGGTGAATCCATCGCGTTTTCTTCCGAGGCTGTCCACTGGAGCACTTGTCCAACAAACTGCTGATGTTGAACGTCGCACGCTTAGTCCCTCCCGGCGCTTGCGCAATTCACTCTGAGAGGACGATGACAGCTTGTGATGCTTTTTGCTTTTGATCGCCGCACACCTCTTGTCTCCCAGCAGAGGCGTTGGAAGCCAAGACATGGAAGTTCTATTGCCAACATCCCCAGAACCACGCGATCCAGCACTTGCTTAATCACAGATCTCAGCCATAGATCCAAACGGTCCAAACCTGCTCGAATACATGTGGTTTTCATGTCGGATGCCTTCGGCACCAGCACGGCAGGAGCCGTCTGCCTGCCATTGGGCCCGCACCTGGGCGGCCGCATCTGTCCTCTCGTTCCAACAGAGGAGTCATCTTCCGATCCACGCATTCGGGAATAGCACGGAGGCAGCTCTAGATTGTTTTGCAACTTCGACAGTATCTTTGTGCCTGAATTGCAGGGCGGTGCCGCCGCGGCCACGAGGCGCAATTTTTGAATGCTTTGGCAGTGAGTTGTTTCGTCTTCTACAGGCTTGAGAAAGCGTCGTAGCAACATTGCGAGAAATGAGGACAGAAGAGAGGGAATATTTCGGCGAGGTAAGTTTCCTCACTCTCTCGACCGTTGACTTGTATCTTGTTCTGGTCCAGCAGGCCAAGCTCCGGATGGCGGTTGGCGTACTTGCCACAGGGGGGAGAGAGCAGAGAGCTGATGGCGGGTCGGCCTCTGAACTTAGGCAGACCACGTCACCGATTCACCATCGAGGGAGTCGCATCCAGAACTCAAGGCCTCGCCTGGCACACGTCTAAAGAGAAAAAAGCCCAGCTCTGCGACTCTCTGCGCTGTCCAGGAGCCGAGGCCAGGACTTCGCCCCTTCGCAGTTCTGGTCCACTGCAGCTTCGACCTGTCGAGGCCTTTCCCAGCGGTCCCAGCGCCAGGCGGGCATGCAAGCGCAGAGCCAAGCGCAAAAAGCTGGTGGCCTTCGCGGCTTCCTTCTGAGCAGGCGGCAGACATCCTGGTACAGACAGGTCTCTGACAGGCCGCAGGCGCACCGGTGTCGTGAGTACCAGCTGACCTGCAGAAATGCTGAGTTGAAGGGGAGCAATTCCATGCTGCCTCAGCGTGCAAGCAGCCTCGTGCTGACCCAAGTGGAAATGGGATGATGTTTTCGACCCACACACTGCGAACACACACTCTAGCACGCGCCCTTGCTGCATTCAGGATGCGACTCAGCAGGTGAACCCGCCATGCAGTTTGAGCTGCTGTGCTGGATGGATGAAGTTGGTTCAAGCATACATCGACCTTGTCTAAGCAGTCTGCAGCAGTTTGCGTGGTCGCTTGCCAGTTTAAGGTATTGTGCCTGGCGGCCCGGTGCTCAATCGGTGCCGCCGAGGAATGTTGACTTCACATTGTCTTGTGAGGCAGCTCCTTCCTCAAGGGAAGCTTCAGTGGCTCCGCACAGCATGGAACTCGCGTGCCATCAAAGGAGGAGCCTGGGTCTCTTCCACTAACTTCCCAAAAACGTGTCCTCTTGCTCTCATCTGCCGAGGCCACCAAGTCGGAACAGAAGCATTGGTGGATCGCAGGCCCCACGTCAGCGGAGAAGACCTTGTGCCCTTGATGCCCCATGTAGATGCGGTGGAGTCGCCAGAGATCGCCTGGTACATCTGGTGACCAATGGACACACTGGAATGGTCTTCTTCCGGACGTGCCGGGTATCCCTGCGGCAAGCCAGCAACTGAGAACTGGCGAAGTGTTCGGGAGACCGTGAGCTTGTGTATCAGCAGGCCATTCCGTCCAGGAGATGTGCTTAGCTCAGCCATTTCTTCTGCTTGCCTTGCGAATGGCTGTTGATGCCAGCGGGATTTACTTTTGAGGCCTGCACGAGATGGCAGCACTATTCACATTCCTCCGGAGCTTCTGTCAGGCCTCGATTCGTGCTGCGTTCCTTGCGGCAATGGACATCCCGCGCAATGCAACACATTGACATCAGGTGAGCACGATGCAGAACCCATGATTTCCAGTGCAAGCAGCTTGGATGCAACGCTAGATTCAAGCAGGACACAAGCTGTGATCATACGTGATCATGATCGTGGCCAGCCAGGTTTCGTGGCATTCGCCGAGACACTTGTTGAGAACTGTGGCTCACTCGTGAGGGTCAGGAGCTTGGTCGAAGTCGATGGAGCCTGTTGAACATAGATTGATGGATTGCGGCGATGGAGCCAACCAAGGCCTTCAACTTCTTTGACTACAATCATACGGGCAAGGCTGTGTTCTTGTGCATTACCAGATGCAGCATAATATCCTGTCTTCTGCACCCCGTTCCAACAAATTTCAGTGGGATGCCACGCAAATGTTGATCTGACTCGGTTACACTCGTGCGATCTCCTCATGGAAGATGATGGTTGCATGTTTTTTTGGTCTTTTGCTTGCGAACGTGTGCTGTCGGTGTGTCCTATTCGAGCAGGTCACCCGCACCCAGTGGGATGCAGGCATCTCCTCCCTGCACATTGACGTTCAGGCGGAGCGCTTTTTCGAAGGCGGAGGTGGACAATTCAGTGTCGCGGAATCGCTCAGGCTTTGTGTGGGGTGTCGACCAAGCAGGTGCAACTCTCAGAAGTTGCCGACGTTTATCATATAGCTTAGACGGGGCATTCACAGAAATCAAGCTAGTTGATGGAACTGCGTGGTTTTGGCTTTTGACTTTTCCGGGTGGAGTGGCATGACTGTGCTTGAATGATGTTTGCCTTCAACAAGACAGGTCTATAAGATGATGGATTCCATTCGCGGACATGGAAAAGGCGAAGTCCAGCTTGATAAGTGCAGCCCCGAGGAACACTGTAGTGCTTTATGGTCTCGATATCGGCTTCAAGAACATGCGTGCTACCTCTAGGATCTTCTAGAGACTACTCACAAAGGTGGATCGCCTTCTTCGAGCAGCACCTGACGCCCCTGCACGCACATCTGCTCGATGAAGACCGTGGTGACATGTCCCGGCCTTTGAGCCTGTGTTGTTGTGTGGTGTTTTTTTCTATGTTTTTTCGGCGTTGGACATGTCCTTGCAGAAGGCGAAATCGGCGCTGGAGCCAATCCAGCCAGACAAGCCAAAGCAGCCGCGGACGACGTGGCGCGGCTTACTCGGCTGTTGCTCACGGCAGCAAAGTCCGTGAGCCAAGGTCCCAGTTTCAGCAACAGAGCTAGCGAGGAGGTTCGAGCAGGCGCGGATTCTAAGTCCCCGCGCACACACGGGTCTTCTGACGATCTCTTCTTGGGGCCCACATGAGTCGGGTCGAGTTTGGATCCATGTGCCGACCATGATTTGGGGCTCTGCTGTCCGAATTACGTCCAAAGCCGGCACTCCGACACAGCATCGCGCACACAAGTCCATGAGCACCTCGTGCCGCGAAGGTAAGTCCGCAGCAGAACTTGAGCGGAGTCCATCAACCGGCTCCTCCCTAAACAGATGGCGAAGCTCGATCAAATTCATGTTTGATCAGATGTCCATCCGTCCAGTCATAACGCGACAGCAACACGTTTACGTCTGATCTGGCTCTTCCTGCAAAATCGGTGACATCTTGAGAACCTACAATGTTGTTGTGCCGTTGAATTGTTGCAGGCATGTCCCAAAATGTTCGGATCACGGATGACGACAGGGCTTGATCAGCATCTTGCATGCCCGTCAGTGTGGCCTGAGTACCCACGACATGGTGAGGGACACACGCCCAAAGGTCCAGTGCAGCTATCATTCGATGCCCAGTCTCAACTCCGTCCTACGCGGTCCTTGATGACAGGCTGCACTTTCGTTGTCGGTAGCTCGCACGATCGTCACGGATCGTCATCCGTCATCCTGCTTTTGCGTTGCAGGAGAGCGGAGAGGCGACGACCCTCCTTAACCTGTTGATGTTGCTGGATGTTCTTCGAAATCGCCATGGTTACCCGGGCTGACTGCGATGGGCTCCATGCCCACCTCATCCCACCTCCCCGTCCCCACCTAACTTGGATGGTCACTGAATCATTTTTGTACAGCCACGTCTTATGATCACCCCCTGCGCTTTCCAAATTCCCTTCCCTGCAATTTCTCTGGTGCGATACAGATGTGGGCCGAAAATCGTCGGTCCGTTCAAGAGCAACGTGCGGCACGCGCCTTGGAAGCTGTGACTTGCTCTCATGAGCAGGGGCGATGTGTTTCCATGTGCCGGGCACGATTTGCCGAAATTTGGGCCCTTGGACAAATCATCACGTACACGAGTAGCTTAACATAGTTGCTGCCAGGATGTGCTTCCAGCAAATCCGCGCGGAGTGCCAGCAAGCGCAGTAGCGTTGCAGCAGAGACCGCTCCGGTTGCATCTTGGGCGGCATTGTAAGCCAATTGTATGGTTTCTCCGTTCCTGTGATAAACTCTTTTCTCGTTTCTAGTGCCTGAGGCCCAGGAAACTGCAGCAACGGAGGCGGGCGGTGATACACTTACAGTTGCAATCCATGTGTGTAGAGTTCTGCAACCTCGACAGGATGTTCGGATGCC